GACACATGAAAAAAACTGGAAGATGCTTGTCTTAAAACCTTCACAAGAACAATAACAAGAAAAACCTGTTTAAATAGTAGCTGAATGGGGATCAGGCTGAGTCACACAGATTTGCCTCTGCTTCAAAAAGACTGTGCAACTCTTGTAACCTCCTGAAGAATTTTATAAAGTCCCCGAGCTCAATAAATTTTTTATATAACTTCTGTTGCCTGTCTTTAAGTTCAGTGATATTTTCTTCTTCAGTATCTAATCACTATTAATCTTATCCAGCATATTTTTCATTTCAGATATTTCTTTATCTCTAGAAGTCCCATTGGTGGTTTTCTCTGTCTTTTATTTCTCTCTTTATTATATTTATGTTTTTCTCTTCCTTCTTGAATATAGGCAACATATTTATAATAGAGGTTCTTGTCTGCTAATTTGTCATCTCTCTCATTTCTGGACCTGTTTCTATTCATTGGTGTGTGTTTTTCTTTCCTTTCCTTGTTATGAGATATATTTTTCTGCTTATTTGCACCCCTGGTAATTTTTTATTAGGTGCTATACATTGCAAATTTTTTGCAATTAGTACTATATTTTGTTGTATTTCTTTAAATAGTGTTGGACTTCATTCTGGGTTGTAGTTAAGTTACTTGATACCTTTTGAATTCTCTTGAGACATGATTTTAAGGTTTTTTTTTAGGGCACAGTTAGGGCAGTCTTTACTTTAAGGCTAAAAGGAAAATATATATCTTTTTTCTACATCTCATTCTTATAAAAGTCTTCCAGAAAGGGGTTGGCAAACTACTAGATTTGGCTGCAGTCCAAATCTAGCCCACAGTCTGTTTTTGTAAATATAGTTTTGTTGTTGCACCACATACCCATCTGTATACATACTGTGAGTAGTTAGTTTCATACTATAATAACAGAGTCGAGCAGTTGCTATAGAAATTATATGGTTGGCCAAGCCAAAATATTTACTATCTGGTTCTCTACAGAAAATGTTTGCCAATCCTATTCTCAGAGAATCACAGACTTCTTTGGGGAAAGTAATGGTAATTAATTTACCAGTGTTGTTGAGCTATTATGATATGGAAGCTTTCTTGAAAGTGTACCTCTGTTATTTTTAAACACGCTGAAATGTGTAAATCACAAATGTTTTATAACAAATTTATTTCATTTCATTTTTTTTTAAATGGAAGTGGTATCACTGCTTTCTCTCTCTTTTTAAAAAAATATATTTTATTGATTTTTTACAGAGTGGAAGGGAGAGAGATAGAGAGTTAGAAACAACAATGAGAGAGAAACATCGATCAGCTGCCTCCCGTACACTCCCCACTGGGGATGTGCCCGCACCAAAGTACATGCCCTTGACCGGAATCGAACCTGGAACCCTTGAGTCCACAGGCTGATGCTCTATCCACTGAGCCAAACTGGTTAAGGCTCATTTCATGTTTTTATGTTATTATATTTATTTTTGGGAAAGTTTTCCTTTTGCCTTCTATTTTTATTTTTAGATGACCTCTTGGTACTTCATCTTTCTGACCTGATCCGTATGGCATTCATGGCTGCAACTGATCACAGTAACCAGCTGCGGATGGCTGGGCTCCAAGCACTTGAAGACATTATCAAGAAGTTTGCATCTGTACCGGAGCCAGAATTTCCAGGTCATGTGATTCTGGAGCAGTATCAAGCTAATGTGAGATATTCTATTTATTTAAAATTTTAAAATTGATCTTTTGAGTGATCATTAAAGGAGTGAAGATTCCCTGGAAAAATGTATTTGGAACTGCACCCTATTTATTCAGGTAGAAGGCATATTTCTACTGCCATTGTCTGTTACATAGTTTGAATCAACCCACAGTTGCAGAAACAATAGTATAAAACTTGTCACTATTTTTAAGTCACGATAGCATGTTAGTGATAAAACTAGAATAGAAATTCTAGCTTGGCTTTGCTGTCTTGTGTTTACATATTTAGCATACCACTTAAAAGATAAAAAGAACATTCAAAGAGTATTGTGGATTTCTTGCCATTATTTTTACATATCAAGACTTTATAAGCATTTTTAAAAATGAAAAGCAATTGTGCCCTGTATGCTGAAGGATAAATTAATTTTTAATAACATTAGATAAAATATTACTGAAAGAATTAGATACTTGCAAAAGATTTTTTTATTTAATTCTAAAAAGGATGCATTTTTTCATGAGATTTATCCCTTTATTGGTTATTCAGATGAGGCACAATAGATGTATTCCAAAAAATAGTAGGTTATGTAAAAGCAAAGAACTTATGCTAGCAAGGAAAGAATAAACTTTTTCTTTTTAATGTGGTTATACCAAAATCTTGGTTCTGTCTATACCACACCTTATCTAAAAGCTATGCTCAAACCTAAACAAAGTGGGAATATGTATAATCCATTGTTTTCCCATCATAAGTATAGGTGAGGAAGTTATAGACTTGAGCCCAGCTGGCTACCAAAAATCTTTATACAATTGTTTACTCTCAAATACTCAGCCTATTAGAATAAAGTCCTTTTGTGTGTTTTTAAAACTTTTTATCTATAATAATAAAAGCATAATATGCTAATTAGACCAGACGATTTTCTGGATGAAGCCGGGGCTGGTAGGGAAGCCTGGTCCCGGGTGCCTGCCAGTGGCTGGAGGGAAGCCCAGGTCCCAGGTGCCAGAGGGAAGCTGGTGCCGGTAGCCGAGGGAAGGAAGGCCTACTCTTGCACGAATTTTGTGCATCGGGCCTCTAGTTTATAAATAATTTCAAACAGAAAAGTTGCAAGAATAGTAAAAAAAAAGTCATATCTTTTACTTATAACTGCCAATTGTTAATTTTGCCTCATTTGCTTTAACATTGATAGTGTCTGTCTCTCCTCTCTCTCTCTCTCTCTCTTATTTCTGAATCATTGAAAAGTAAATGATTTAAACCATGTACCTTTACCTTGAACACTTCAGTCTATATTTCCAGCGGGTAAGAATATTATCTTACATAATCACAGAACAGTTATCAATTTCAGCAAATTTAACATTGCTATACTACTTTTATATAATCTGTCATATTCCACTTTTATTAGTTGACCCAATAATCTCTTTTTTTTTATTAAATATATTTTATTGATTTTTTTACAGAGAGGAAGGGAGAGAGATAGAGAGTTGAAACATCGATGAGAGAGAAACATCAATCAGCTGCCTACTGCACATCTCCCACTGGGGATGTGCCCACAACCCAGGTACATGCCCTTGACCGGAATCGAACCTGGGACCCTTCAGTCCGCAGGCCGACGCTCTATCCACTGAGCCAAACCGGTTTCGGCCCAATAATCTCTTTTATAGTATTTTCCTTCAGTACAGGACCCACTTACCAGCTCTGCGATTATTTGATTATTGCAATGCTAATACTGCAGTTAATTGCCATGTGTCTTTAGTCACAGAGAGGGGCTCTTTATTCATTTCCAAAGTGCTGTTGATATGCCTTAGCAAGTGAATCTCTAGTGAAAGGGAAGAAATCTCAAACTAGGGGCTGACTACATTTAATTCTTTATTTAGTTCATACGTATTAAATCTAATGTAGCTAAGAATCTGTGATTGACGTTGGCTTATTAAAACTAAAGCTCAAATCCCTCACTTATTCCTATAACAAGAGTATATGAAATAATATTTCTTGAACAACCTTTTTTTTAAAGCATCCCTCTTAAAAAAAATAGTTTATTGATTTTTAGAGAGAGGAAGGGAGAGATAAACATCAGTGCAAGAGTGCAACATGCCTCCTGCATGCCCCCCACCTGGGGATTGAGCCTGCAACCGGGGGTATGTGCTCTTTCCCAGGAATGGAACTGGTGACCTCCCAATGCATGGGAGGATGCCCACCCAACTGAGTCACACCAGCCAGGGTAAAGCATCTCTCTTTCTTACTTTTTAAAAAAAAAAATTTGTGTTGATTTCACAGAGAGGAAAGAAGAGGGAGAGAGAGATAGAAACATCAATGATGAGAGAGAATCATTGATTGGCTGCCTCCTACAAGCCACTGGGGATTGAGCCTGCAACCTGGGCATGTGCTCTGACCTGGAATCGAACCGTGACCTCCTGGTTCATAGGTCAGTGCTCAACCATTGAGCAACATTGGTCAGGCTGCAAAGCATCTCTTTTTGAGGTGAAATAATCTCTCAAGTTTTTTTTTAATGACTACAAATGTTTAGTAATTATTTAAAGGAATTGATCCAGTTATATAAAATTCACCCATGAAGTAAATATTGTTAGAAATATGTTTAGGAAAATATAAACAAAAAAAAGGATAGCAATTTTTTGTTATCTCTGGGAACATCTGACTTTGTCAGAAAATCCTATTTACACTTAAACAAAAACAAAGGAAAAATAAACAAAATTCATTGCCTATTTGGTATAGTATTCATATAGACTTAATAATAATAACCTCCTGGAAAGCAAAAAAAATGGTATGGTTGAGTTTATCATAACTGGAAAGAAAGAGAGATATAATAGCCCTGGCTGGGTGGCTCAGTTGTTTGGAGTGTTGTCCCATGCATCAAAAGGATGTGGGTTCCATTATAGGTCAGGGCACATACCTAAGTTTCTAGTTCAATGCCCAGTCGGAGCACATATGGGAGGCAACCCATCGATTTTTCTCTCTCACACCAATGTTTCTTTCTCTTTCTTCCTCTCTCTGTCAAGTCAATAAAAACATATCCTCAGGTGAGAATTAAAAAGAGAGAGAGAGAGAAAGAGAGATAATAAAAAGGAAGGAACAAAATTGTGTTTTGTGTGTATTCATCTCCAAAGAAAAAAAAGAGGCTTACTGTTTACTACTTAACTTTAAAAATAAATTCTATTTATTTTTCTAGGTGGGAGCTGCTCTAAGACCAGCCTTTTCACAAGATACCCCATCAGACATAATAGCAAAAGCTTGCCAGGTAAGAAGAAAAATAGGGTTTTGTATGGCTTTGGTCTATAAGTTCATAGATATCTTAGAATTTCACTTCCAAAAAAGAAGATAGAGTGCTCGCTTCGGCAGCACATATACTAAAATTGGAACGATACAGAGAAGATTAGCATGGCCCTTGGGCAAGGATGACACGCAAAAAAAAAAAAAAAGATAGAAAAATTAAATAACATTTATTTTTATCTTGGTAATATAGCAGTAACAGTTTCCTTTTTTATTTTGTATCAAATGATGATATAGAAACTGTTAATCACATCCCCCCCCCCTTTTTTTTATCATAGCTGAGGACATGACTTTGGGATGCATAGCTTTTATATAACCCAGAAGTGAACAGAAATATGACAGTCATAAGAGGGACTAAAATAAATGTAAGATCGCAAAATCTAGAATAATTAAAGAATGCATAATAATGACAATTAGATAACAAAAGATTTCTTTGACTATAGGCTGCAATAATTCTACAAATTTCTGGGTATTAAATTATCCAAAAGAGAATTTCACAGTATGGATATTTCATTGCAAAATTAATCTCCGGGGATTTTCTTACATTATTGTATCTGAAGAGATATACCTTTAGTAAATTCCTCTTTTTTATTATGCCTCATCCTGAAAAAGGATTCATGCATTAAGCTCTAATCTTTCAGAAAATCCGATTCTTCATCTATTTAAGGATAGAATAGAAACAACTCTCCAAGTTTTCAGGAGTACAAAACTATGGTCTGTCATTATTGCTTAGAATCCACAAACAAGCTACATATATCCTCAGAGAATGTTCTCTTTGCAATGATGATTGGAAATTCTGACTTTGTTCTCTCAGTGGCTGAATGGATTTACCTCTTCCTTCCATTGGTAAGACTTATTTTTCTGAAGCCAGCTGTCTTAATGGTGGCCTTCAGAGAAATGAACTCCTCCCACCAATAGCAGACCAGAGAGAGAAGAGGGAGCCTTGTTTAAGAAAAAGGTCTGGGGATCATAGTACAAACCCTGGAGTTAGAGTAGGTCGTTTGCTTTGGCATACCGAAATCACAGTCATGTATAAATAAATATATCATAGTGCTGTTTCAGAGCAGAGTATTTAATTAGAGAAAACCTGCTACAAAGTTCCTGATCATTAGAAAAGCAAAGGCTATTAGAATTTTATTTTGTGAGTGAGTAGTATGAAAATTTCCTGCTAGTGAATTTGCCTTAAGCATCTTATTTCTTATGTGGCTCCAGCTGCTTTTCCAATAAGCAGTTTCTTTTTCTCTAGTGTCAGGCATACATTTTTGACCTCCTATCCTTCTGTTTCTGGAAGAAACCCTGGTTTTGAAACACTTGAAGAGGTGTTTCCTTAAGGGCTAGTAAGGACTTGGCTTCAGGCAGATCATGAAACATGGCATCCCAGCTTGTTTACTAGATAAATGTATCATTAAACCTGGAAATCAGGGTAATTCTTCGATATTATAGGAAGACCTTCAGATGTAACGCAATTGGGGACTAATCAGTGGATTAATCAAACATTACTTCAAGCAGAGTAGAAATAACATATTACATACTTTAAATATTGACTTCAGCTTAAAACTTATAAGTGTGCACTTATTCACCACTCTTTTGCTGCAAGTCGAAGATCTTTTCTCTGGTTATGATTTTGCTGATTCAGTGCTGCTTTGTCTTTCTGGGTAAACCAAGCCCTACTGCAGTATCTGCAATTTCTAATTTCATGTTCTTTAAAGTGGAAAATGTACTTAGGTTTTTGCAATGTAAACTTAGTGCCAAGTCTCAATCTGTACAATTTTCCCCAACTTTTAGTTATATTTCTACCAAATTTTGCAGAAATATTTATCAGCTCTCTCCAGTATGTTTTGTTTCCTTAGAATAACAACTCTTTATTCTCCTATTTATAGTTAATCTTTTTCACTTTAAATGTCATGTTTTCAACATTGTTTTGACTGGCATTTTATTTTGCCATCAGTATGTTTATGATTGATAATATTAAAATATCCTTATTAATTTTTATTCAATTTAGTTTGAATCCTTTGAGAATAAGATTATAAGAATATAATAGTTACATAAATATTTATTCTCAACTTTTAAAAAGTTTTAAATATAGGCACACAGTCCATTAACCATGATTCAATATCCAAATGCTCTGAAAGCCAAAAGCTTTTGCATAATTTGTTTTATAGCAAAACCTGAGCTGACTGTACTCATTTGGCCCTGACATGAAGCTGAGTGAGACTGGAGTATTGGTTAATCTCTTTCAGTGTGACTCGTACTATCTTTCACTCTCGAAATATCCATGTTAATTATGAGGTGCTCCCACACATCTTGCTTGTTGTCTTTCTTAATGAGGTTCATGTCCCTTGTTACCTTTTACCAAAATGTTGTGAACTGTGAAACATGTCTTGGCCCAAGGATTTCAGGTAAGAAAGTGAGGACTTGTAATTGTTGAATAAAGCTGGCACTACCAGACCACCCTTCCTCTTGACATTCTTCACTTGGCTCCAGTTATCACCATACTTACCTGGTTTTCCTTCTGCATTTCTAGTCTTTCAATTTCTTTCATTGCTTATTCTTACTCCATTTGTCCCTTAAGTAGAACTATTTTCCCTGTGTCTTCCCTTAAGACTTCTTTTAAATCCTCACCTGAGGATTGATTTTTGAGAGAGAGAGAGAGAGAGAGAGAGAGAGAGAAAGTGAGAAAGAAACATCAGTGTGAGAGAGATACATAGATTGGTTGCCTCCCCCGTATGTGCTCTGACTAGAAATTGAACCTGAAACCTAGCTAAGTGCTGGCCGGGAATCAAACCTGCAACCTTGTGGTATATGGGATGACGTTCCAATCAACTGAGCTACCCGTCCAGGGCAAGGCCTTTTTTTAAGCACATCAATTCTTGAACAAATTCACCTAGTAACATTGCTTTAGTTATAGCCTTTGTGTGGAGCATTCCCAGGTCTACAGAGTTACCTTTGTCCTTGCTCCTGAAATCCAGACCCAAGTTTCTAGTCGCCTGCTGAATCTTTCCCGGGTCTCTAACTGGTACTTTGAACTCAGCATGTCAAAATGTTCACCACCAAGATCATGCTAACTTCTCATCACCAAACTTTTCTATTTTCTTATGTTATCTCTCTTAAGCAGTATCACCTTCCTTCCATTAACAGCTTTGGCAATCAAAATTTGGCAATTTTTGATTCCTCGCCCTTTTTGCATAGCTTTGTGCCCCACCCCCTAAAAATATTTAATGGGTTTCCAAACCTTGTGATTTCTACTTCCAAGTCTTTCCCTGATGCCTCTCCCTTTTTGTTCCATTCCCAGTTTGATCCCTGTCATCTCTGTTTCATAGTATTGTAATAGTCACTTAACTGAACACATTGCTTACTATCTATACACATTCATTCTATGCATCAATACTGGAGCAGGCTTTCTACTGGAGCACAGTTCTAATAATATCCCCCTGCTCAGAAGCCCTGAAAACTCATGATTACCTACAGAACAAGTCTGCATTCAGTTCTAATGGAATTTAAATTGTGCTACAATCTGATCTCAGTTAACTTTCCTACTCTTAGTTCTTCCCCCATGTAATAACTCCCCTATATCTATCCACACAAACCTTCCTGATATCTAAACATTCCCATTTTTCCTGCCAGAATTAATCTCTCCCTCCTTTTTTAAGTGTAGTATTGTAGTCGTAAATGTTCTCATGGGTTCATTCAATCTGTTTTCTTTCTTGAGGACAGGGACTAGATTTTTTCCCCTTTACTTAAAAAAAAATCTCATAATACCCAGAATAACCCTTTGCTTATAGTAAACAGAAATGTTGTTGAATTGAAGAATTGTTCACAACTGACCTGATTTAGATGGAAAATCTTTTCTGGTAAAATTTTTGTCCAATTAGACAATGGACACATGACAAGTAAATATTGTTTTATTTTCCACATCATTGTACAATAAATTCCATACTTGCTGTTTAGTTATTAAAACTAATATTAAAGCATAGCTTTGCGGTTTTTTGTTGTTTTGTTTATTGGTTGTTTTTTTTGTGTTTCTTCCCTCAAGGAAAAAAACATATTTTATATTAAATGTTAATATTTTTATACAACAATTTTAAAATTTTCTTTGGCTAGGTGTGTAGTACATGGATTGGAAGTGGAGTTGTCAGTGACCTCAATGATCTTCGTCGAGTACACAATCTGCTTGTTTCTTCTCTGGACAAAGTTCAGGCTGGAAAAGGATCTTCCAGCCAGCTGTACCGAGAGAGTGCCACAACCATGGAGAAACTGGCTGTTCTTAAAGCTTGGGCAGAGGTAACTGTGCCTGTTGTTTTGAACTGTTTCTCCATGTATGAGAAAACGTGTCTCTTTTCTTATAGGTTAAAAAAAAAAATCTATTTTTATTTTTTTAAATATATTTTTATTGATTTCAGTGAGGAAGGAAGAGTGGGAGAGAGATAGAAACATCAATGAGAGAGAATCATTGATCAGCTGCCTCCTGCACGCCCCACACTGGGGATCGAGCTTGCAACCCGGACATGTGCCCTGACTGGGAATCAAACTGTGACTTCCTGGTTCATAGATTGATGCTCAACCACTGAGCCATGCAGGACGGGCTGGTTTTTTTATTTTTTAAAACTGACCTTTATATCAAATATATTTGTTCTTTCATATCTCAAAAGAACTCTCATAAATCTTTTGAGTATTATATTTTTAATGAGTTTTGTAAAAACTTCTATATTGAGGAAGGGCTCTCTGTACTTACTATGGAGGCATTAGGCAGGGAAAACATACAAATACAAATAATAGAAAATAATTTAGGCCAAGAGTTTTTTGTTTGATCAAATTTCAGGAGACTTGCCACCACTCATTGGTACCCAGGCTGCAGGTTGCAGGGGATATTTGTGTGTTTTTCTTTTGTTTTTTTATAACTCTTTATTGTTGAAAGTATTACATATGTCCCCTTTTTACCCCCATTGCTCCCCCCCCCCCCATTTTGTTTTTTAATAGCTCGTTGTCTCTGGAAACATGTGACCTGGTCAGAGATGATGGTATTAAGTAAATAGAAACATTTTGGGGGGCTTATTTTTCTAGTTAGATATTACACAAGAAAAATACAAAAATTAGAAGTATAAGTAAAATAAAAAAGCAGACTCAATTCTGCATCTGAGTTTTATTCATTCATTACACAAATC